TCACCAACCTCAACTTATGCTATTCCTTTCTTAAAGGTCTGACAAATTCTAGAATACTGTAACAAATGAGACAATTATGAGCTTCAGTGCTGCTTAGCACTTATTCTACAATCCCAGGGAGCTTAACTGAAGGATTACACCATTTTTCCAAAACATGTTCCCTAATTTGTTTTAATGATGTTGTAGAAGAGCACTGTCCAACACAGAGGTATAAAGCCTCATGAGCATTCAACAAGGAAAATATTTAGTGATTGTTTTATATCATCAAAAGATTCATTAGGTATTGATTAGGAGCATTCATGTTCTGAAGGTTTTAGTAGCTAAAAGCTAAAGTTGATCACTGAGAACAAACTGTTGATTTGCAGTGACTGTTTCATTTAAAGCAGGAGTGTGCAACCTGCAGCTCTGGAGTCATTTTCATTTTTAAATATGTGAATGAAATGTCTGTGACAGAATGACACCAATAATACAAAACAAGTTGTTCATGTTGGTCATATTCAGGTGTGTTAGCTTCTTATGAGTTTTAGTTTTCAGCAACATGGTGTGATATTTCTCTGAAATCCACCTGAACATAAGCTTTTTAATATTTATGAGAAGACGTTCTTAGTTCAGTGTTTACATTTTGTTTAATGAGCTATTAACAAGCATATGATGTTGTATTATTGCTTTTACTTTGATCTAACATGTAAAAATATAAAAAAAATCTTATCATAATTGTTTTATGTTATAATATAACAAACAGGTTTGTCTTCCTCCTGTATTTATCAACACTTTATTAATCGTGTTGTCTTTATTTCAAAATTTTATTTGGTTTTGTGGTTTTGGGAAACTTTTATTTTAGTGGGAGATGCCCACATCCTTTCCTTACTGTTGAGGTCAAAACTTCAGGTGTTTTTATTTGTTATTTTACCAGTTCCTGGTTTGTCAGGATAAAAAAATATATAAATATGACGGAGTTAAAAGCAGTTTGAAAATATTATTGATAATGAGGATTAGGTTTATCCCCCAGTACAGTTCTTGACTATGAATAACTTCCATATTGTTAAAAGTATTAGGTATGCATAATTAAACACACATATTGTATTCAAAGAAGCCACTTGCTCCTGAATGTCCTGTAAATGCTCAGTGACATAATTATTATTGTTATTTAAAGAGCCTTTCAGTTATGCATGCACATTTAGCTGTAATGTTGATCGGAGATTTAACAGTCGGCACTCATGCCTCTGTTTATTCAAACGAGTGCCATCAGCGCAGTCAAATGCTTCTTGCTTTCAGAGGCTGCAGAGTGAGAGTCAGGGAACAAAACAAGGTCCATCTGTGTTTCTGTGCAGAGCCGTTTGGTATCTGATCAGCGTAGATACCAAAGCAGACGGCACTGTTGCATCATCACTGGCTATTTTAGTCTCTGATCATTTGTGGTTCCCAACACACATCCTGTCGTTCTATCTGCGTTTGAACCTTTATTACAGAAATGTATTTTAGATCTTCTGTAGGCATTATATATTTGGAATAAGAACATAATTAAAGGCTTTGCATTCTTTGAAAAAAATATGTATTGCACTTTGCCTTTCTTGCCAGAGTTTTAAACTAAGACGTTTTTATTTTGCGAAGGGACAACGATATTAGCCATTTTAGATGACTCAGCTATGGAAGCCATCTTGAGTTTGATTGTAGATGACACGTTTTTGTTGGGCAATTTTAAAAAAGTTGTTATTCAAAAAAAAAAAAATTATTTTTGCTGTCACTTCAGGGAGTTTACAACGTTTAATACAAAGTTGCTTCTGAATAATACCATTTGCTGCCCTTCGTTGTGCGTGTGCCTCTGTCCATGGTGCTACAACACACTGTCATGTTGCACACTTTTTTCATGTGACAACTGTTTCATAGATTGGGGGTGGGGGGGTGGGGGGATTTTTTTGAGTGCTAAATGGGTTGTTTTAGGACATGAGAAGTAGAAACTGTAAAATAGTTTCTTTCACATTCCTTCTTTAGCAATTGTTTTGCTGATTTTCTTTTTTCTGTATTTTTTTTACTACCTATGCAAACTTTGTGCTATTTTAATTACAAGCATTTCTCCATAGAAATACATTAATAAATCTTTAAGTTCTTTAAAATGTTCTTTTAGTACTCTGATTCTGCATACTTGCTCAATTTGCGACTTTTTATGCTAGTTTTAGCTTTTAGCTAGCATTTTACTGTATTAACATGTTGGTTGCTGTTAGCTACTGTTTAGAAATGTTTGGCTTTTAACCAACTTTTTGTTTACATTTAGTTTTTAGCTACTGGTTTGCTACTTTGAACCGTGTTTTGCTGCTTTTAGATAGTTTTCAGCTTCGTTTAGCTTTAACAACTCAGTTTCAGCTTCTACACCAAATGTCAGTGAAGTCATTTAACTCTTAGCATTCACACTGAATGTCTTTAGTTGTCTGTGATTTTTTTAAAGTACAGTAAAGATCTAGGGGGAAGACATGATGTTTTTGAGCTGATTGGAAAACAAGCCGGTTGTTCTGGACTTTACTGTAGAGTTGAGAAGACAAGTGTTTACAGCCCATCTATGTTGCAGTGCTCTTGTACCTGCTCATGAACAACCGTTTCTGCTTCTCCTAATGAGCCCACATACTGTTTTACTGGGTTTAACATTATAATGGTCCATGCGATGCAGAAACTCCAGTTAGGGGTGCTGTGATATTAAACTTTAATTGCCTTGAGGCTGTGAGATCACTGCTGCAGCAAAGTGTCAGTAGGAGTGAAGAAAAGAAACTTCCAGGATCAACCGAGTTATATAATAATTGTCAACAATTTTACCAAGCAAGCTGACAGTCTTTCCACATGTTCAACCTTGTAAAATATATAAAAACAAGAGTTGATCACATTGTTTTTAAAGTTACACACATAAATGTGTGATCAGAAAATCAAGGTATACATAGAAAAAAATCTAGAAATAATTCTGATCATTTTCACCTAACTAAATGTACATGGTCAACATTTATAAAAAGTTTTATATATTACAGATAATATGCAACCAGATTAGGTTTTTGCACAACTAAGACATGCATATATATATATATATATATATATTCATCATGCTTAAAATTTTCAGAATATAAAAGCTTTAAACCAAAAAATAAAAACAGAAAACAGAAGCAGCTGAAGCATCAAACATTGCGTTGCCATGGAAATGTTACCTTCAATTTAGAAATATGTAGTTGGTTAAGAAATATTTTGTGTGACTACTGTCTCGTCTTTCTGTTCCCTCTCCCTGTCAAAGGCTGTTGGAGCTCCGATTAGTGTTGATGTTGTCAAATACGGCCATGCAGGGAATTAAAATGACAGATACATAATAAGCACGGATACAACGATGGAGATGGAGGAGGGTCTCCGAGTTTGTACGTAAGTGTGTTCCAATAATCTGTCCTCATCTCCCAGCCCATCTCCACTGCAGGAGCTAAAGCCCATCCATCAACCTACGGGGCAAAACATCTCTCCTCCAAACTCCCTTTGGTTCACTGAATCCTCACTGAGGGAGACACAAAAGGATGAAAGGATGAAGAGCTATAGAGATAGAGGAGGAGGAGTGGGCTTTGACAAAAAAAGAAGTGAGGACGCTTGTTGAGTGAGGCCGAGGAGGCGGAGTGGGAAGAGAGGTGAAATGCACAGAGAGAGGGAGGAGGAGATGTTTAGATGGATAAAAAAGTGAGAAGAGGAGGACAGAAAAACCGTGCAGAGTTCAGTCTTCTCTGGTTTCCTTGACTAAGAATAGCAGCTCTTTTGGAAGCCTGTTTGCTCCGGGACATGACCATTTGAATAAAAGCTTCCATCACTTCACATAATGCTTTTGGTTTGTGTGAGCTCCACTGTATCTGCAGTCGCTTGTGTCGACATGCGCCTGCGTGTGGGAGAGAGTTTTAAAGATAGATTTGGATGGAAAATCATGAGGATAATAAGAGAGACAGAAACACGATAGAGGGGGAGGAGCCTAACAGGGAGCAGGCTAATTGATGGTGATGATAAAAGGCTGATGGAGGAGAGAATCACAGACAGGTTTCATTTCAGCGAGCAGATGACTCGATCCACCAACCCCCCATCACACTGCGTTACTCTGCCTGCCTTTGGTGCGGGGTGTGGAATTTTAAGTTGGATTAACAGGAGCAAAATATAAAATACAATAATATGTTTGTCCCTGCAGCACAGTGGCGCAACTGGTAGAGCTGCTGCCTCTCAGCGAGCAGGTCCTTGGTTCAAACCCCGGTCCAGGGGCCTTTCTGGGTGGAGTTTGCATGTTCTCTCCGTGCATGCGTGGGTTTTCTCTGGGTACTCCGGTTTCCTCCCACAGACCAAAAACATGCATGTTAGGCTGATTGGTAACTCTAAATTGTCCCTAGGTGTGAGTGAGAGAGTGAATGGTTGTTTGTCTCGTTTGTCTCTATGTAGCCCTGTGATGGACTTGCGACCCGTCCAGGGTGTACCCCACCCCTCACGCAGTGATTGCTGGACATGGGCACCGGCGACCCCCGTGACCCAAAATGGAATAAGCGGGTAAAGATAATGGATGGATGGATGGATGTTTTTCCCTGTATAGCCATACAATAACAAAATTACTAACACAAGAACCAAAAACATTTCTTGAAATAAAGTGCCTTTCATTTTTTTTGAACGGACACAGACTTCACACCAGAGTTTTAAACTAATCTCAGCCATTGCTGGGAGGGGGGCATGCCATTTTGGTCAAACCTTGTCAATAACTTTATGGCATATCTCATATGATTTTGCAAGAATCTCACGAGTGCCTTAAATACAGTTGTGTTGAGGGTTTGTCAGAGCTACCATAAAACCAAATCTAGCTCAATATCTATAAAATTGCCAGAGTTTCAGACATTTTTAGGTTAGTACCGCCCTTCCACCTACCAGCAGCACACAACAATAAAACTGTGACTTATTTCACATCAGTGTTTAATTTAATTTTCACAGTTTTGTTTTCTTTTTTTTATCTTTTCTTCTAGCACTACTTCCTGATTGTGTTTGGTCACGATGGACAAAAACCTCTGGAGCTGCGGACAGATGAGGAGAGTGAGTGTGACGAATGGGTGGAGGCCATCCAGCAGGCGAGGTACACAGCACGTCCTATCACAGGAACATTTCTGAGGGTAATAACTACAGTATTCAGTCATAAACCGTCTTTTTTTTAATCAGAATAAAAAAGGAAACACCTCATCAGGTTAAGCAGCAGGATATCACTTTAATCCAACATGACAGTGTGTGTCGTTGGTTTAATTAATTATTGTGTTAAATTTAGGGCTGCATCATGGCTCAGTTGGTAGAGCTGTTGCCTCTCAGCAAGAAGGTCATTGGGGAACTTTCTGGGTGGGGTTTTCTCAGGGTACTCCAGTTTCCTCCCACAGACCAAAAACATGCATGTTAGGCTGATTGGTAACTCTAAATTGTCCCTAGGTGTGAGAGTGAATGGTTGTTTGTCTCCCCGTGGCCCTGTGATGGATTTGCAACCTGTCCAAGGTGTCCCCCACCTGTATATGGGCACCAGTGACCCCCGTGACCTGAAAAGAGAAAATAAGGGGTAATAATAATGGATGGATGGATGTTTAATTTACTGCAAAGCTGTTTTTCTATTTAAAAAAACAAACAATAAAAAACCCCATATTTTTATGACTCAGAGCTTTTTAAACTTTAACATAGACTATAGGGTCTACAGTCGATGTCACGCTGTAAAAACTGTGATAAACACATTTTTACAGCTTAATTTCTCAGCTCTTGTGCAGATTCTCAGTCATTCAGGATGCACCTTTTGTACTGCCTCTTTGTAAAACCTTCCACGAGAATTTTTTTTTTTTGTATAGCAATACATAATACAGCCCATGTACACAGTGTTTATTTGATACTTACAAGTATGTACCTGGTATTTACAGGGTATATAAGTACCAGCTATATATTCATTATGTACCTAAGTAAGTATTAAATTTAAACTTACTAGTACAGATTACCAAACCACTTTATAATGCAGTCTGGTCCCTGTAGATGCTTGATAAATACCAGATAAGTACCAATTATGTTTCTGGTAAAGAATATATACATACCAAATAATTATGGTACTGGTAACGGTATGTAACAGATAAATAGATACGTACTTGGTAAGTACATGGTGATTCCCCCTTAAGCAAACTTTAACAAGTATTTTACTTGCCTAGTATTTAAGTTCTTATCAGAGAAGTACCAGGTGCATACACTGTAAGTACACTGTAGGTACCAGATAGATATCAAGCTGTATTATTATGTATTATCATTAGTATGCTACTTTTTTGTTTTCTGTTTGCAGTATTTTTTTGTGTGTTGCTCCCAAATTTTGGAATGATTTATATTTATAAATACAATTCAGTGGGTCACTGAAAATATTTTTTGTATTTGTGTCTGTTAAATTTTAGAATGATTAAAAATATAAAGTATTTTTAGTTTTTAGAAAAGTTTTAAATCAAGGCTTTGTACTTGTTTGCATGTGTGTGAATATATTTTTTTCTATATATATATATATATATATATATATATATATATATATATATATAT